TATTATGTTTTAAAATATTTGATTTGTTTTGTTAACCCCTCTGCATCCAAATTTTAATTACTTTTGATAAACAATTCATATTATTTCAACTCTATTTCATTGATAAGATTAATTTTCATTGTTTTGTTTGGGTGCTTTCAGATCTTGTTCTCTCATGGAATTCGTATCATTTTCGCAAACTTTATCAAGGATTACTTATGTCTTCAAATCAAAACATTTAAACCCGAAAGAACTGCTCACGTTTGAAAGAAGGATAAATCAGCTATGACAAATAGTAGGTACACTGAGGCAAATAAACTTAAGAATTTCATAAGTATTGAATTATGAAAGACGTATGAATTTCATTAGCGTGACTTATGAATGATTTTCGTCTAACATGAGGCAGCTCTTATACACCTTTAAGCATTGCATTACCCAAAGCGTTGAAAGACGAGTGGTCAACACACGAGCCCCGTACATTTCAACCAATATCCTCATATAATATTTAAATCAAAAGCGCCAACTCGTGTTACATCTGAATGAGATGAAATTTTCAGAGAGTGGTGTCTCACTAAATGGCACAAATCTAAGAGTTGAAGAAAATGATAAATTTCCCCCATATAAATGTGAACCAGTCTACCCCCATACATCTGAGGTTCCTGATATCGAAGGATCTGATTTTAAGTAAGTAATATATATGTATAATTGATTTGTCGTATTAAGAAAAAATTACCATCAAATTTCAAAAAGATACCCCACCTACAACATGTTTATGCCTCGCTACAGTTTGAAATTATGAAACTATGTGATATTATAATAATAACTCAACTCACCGAAATCGCAGGAACTACGCCCAATTGAGAAGTTTTGGGCCATCATGAAGGCCAGACTTCGTGAAATATCTAAGGTGTGGGAGAACGAGCTGGCTTTGAAGAAACAGTGGGTAAAAGTATCAAAAGAAATCAGCCCCTCCATTGTCTAAAACCTTAGGAGTTGTGTCAAGGGCAAGATGCGTGCATTCGTTTATGGAGCGGAGATCTGATAAAGCAACGAAGTATAATCCTAACCATAATTTTGTACTTTATTTCCTGAAAGTTTGAAGAAAATGTGACTTAAAATGAATTTTTGGCAACCATTTTCATGTGTTTCACTTTTTTCGAGCACAGTCTTTATTACTTTTAATGACGAATAATGTTAGAAAAGTTGCATGTTTACGCTTTGAACACAACAAAAATGTTGCACTGGAAGAGAAATAATGAGAAATTAGAGAGGGTCTACTATAAAAGAGGAACGAATTCAAAACAAACTGCCTTGACAACCTATGCCTGGGTGATTTCTAGCAACACTGCCAATGTAATCAAGATAGGCGCTGCTTGATTGGCTCTGGCTTTGACAGTTCGCTTGGCTCAAAACCAGCCAGTCCGCTCCTCTCTTATACTAGACCCTCTCTATGAGAAATATCAGTGTTCAAGTACAATTTACTGATCAATTTGACCCCGTTTTACGGTATATAATAATTCAACGGATGAAAATAAATCGCGTTAAAACAGAATTGAGTGTAACTTGATTATTAGTGATTATTTAATTACTCCCATTAAAACCCACATTGAACATACCTACAGTGACCGGAACAAAAAAAGATCCACCCACCCCGAGTAGCACACTTCCGTTAATAAAAGTTGCAACAACTTGTTTATGACTGAAATAAGTCGTAAAGAAGTTTCTACATCCAATATGTGACAAGCGTGCTACTAGGGACTTAAATATAATTTAAACGCCTATTAATGTCTATTTGTCATATCAAAACTATTTCAAAAACAGTTTGCTCCAGCATCATTTGTTATGTTTCATACCACTTTATTGAAAAGAACATCAGTTTCAGTCAACTGTACATCAAATTCATAAGGATACCCTGATCCTGAATTTACATAAAAAATATCCACCAGCGAAATAAATATCAAACCGTTTGAGTTACATTGGCCCACCCCTCGTATTTCATGGTTTTGACGATTCATTGGACCGTATGAATAAAAAGAGTTTACTTTACTTTCCCGTGCTTTTCTTACGGGAAAAGTAAAGTAAACGGTTTTATTCATACGACCTATTGTTTATAGCATCACAAAAGTCTACACGGTTAAAAATATATACTCAATTTTAAGTAACTTTCACCCAACTCGGTGCTTCCGTGGGGCTAGCCAAATTGAGTTAACTGCAGATACTCAAATTTGGGTGATTTCGATGAGCAATGAAATATTTATCCTTATTTAAACGAAATTGTGGAAACGAACAGATAATTTTATGCAGTTATTCAAAAAATCAAATCTAGACAGTACCTCAGATGCACTGATGCAGATCATTCCCTCTTCTTGGCATAGTTCAGCAAACTCTAAATTTTGCAACGAGATCCCGGATCGCGGATGGATGGGTTCAACAAACTGATTGATACACCACAATCTTCTCACTTCTCGGGCACGAATACTGCTTAATGTCCAAAGTTGTATGGATCCGTTGAACATTTTGATGTTCACCATCCACTTGTTTGCATCTGTGAAAATCTTCAATTGGCTAGTCGATTGGCCGTACGAAACGAAAACCGGTCCTTTGGACTGGACAAAATCGGTCCGGTCTGGAACGGTCGAAATCCGTAGATGCGAAACGAACAGCTAAACTGATGGTGGATGTAAACCAGTGGTGGGTGTCGATATTCACTGAACCTGGATGGAGTGAGAGCGGAAGATGAGAAAAGTGACGATTGATCGAGCCAGAACGAAGGGAGAGTGACGATGACGAAGGGTTGGGAGCCGGAATGTAGCCTCCGAAGAAGAGAGTCGATCGCTGGTACGTGTAGAGGGTCGATCGCTGGGCTTTAAGGGATTCTACTTAGCCACCGCCACGATCCCGCGTGTTCCGTCAGCAACATTGGCCTCCTCCACGATCGCTGGAGATTCTACGATCGCCATCCGACCAGCAGCCATCTCTGGTGTTTGTGCCTGCCGCGATCCTGCGTGCACTGTTAGCAACACTGGCCACAATCACGATCGCTGAACCTCCAACGATTCAATCCGGCCACTGCCATCCGACCACTGTCATCCGACCACTGTCATCCGGCCACTGTCATCCGGCCACTGTCATCCGGCCACTGTCATCCGGCCACTGCCATCCGGCTGCTCATCATCCGGCTACCGCTATCCGGCCACCGTAACCCGGGCACCACTATCTGGCCCCCGTAACACCATCAGCACCATAAGCACTGCTACTTGCATTATATAGCTCATCGCCTGTGTCGTCACCGCCACCTGGTGCCTCATCCAACATTGTAGAAGAAATAAAAGGTATTTAACCGTTGTCCGCGAGTAATTTTGTAGGATTCCGTGTTCAGAAACCTCCCCCCCCCCTCTCACGCAAAAAAAACACCCTGGGACCAGCATACTGGTGGCTACGGAATAATCATCTGGAAGATCTGAGATATCCGTAAAAGTTAGTTGATATCGATAGTAGGCCTACATTCCCAGCAAAATCAAGCTGAACATTGCATTAGATCCTAAGTAACATTGATCGATTCTCTTCGGCGACTTTCTCTTTCATTAATAACTAGAGCCTATTACCGATTCTTTTTGAATCTGTCAATGGACCTAATGCATTGTTCAGCTAGAAATTTCCAATTAAGACAATCACGAAGTATTGCAATCAACTTCTGGCGGAAAAGACTTACGCGGCTCTCTGATCCGTTGAATATACACGCAGTGTTTGACATTGACACCAAATTTGAACTGAAGTTGCATTTCATTGCACATGCTCCGAGTTGGAGAAGCCTCTTCGCGCCCTGATTAGAATGTGAGTAAGAGATTGACGTTACAATTTTTACCCCCTGATCCGAGACGATGATGTGTTATCAGTAGTAGTCTTCGGTTCAGAGTCATAATGAAAAGTATGTTAAGTTCATAAGGCACATCATCGCGCACACTCATGTTGACTAGTGGTGCTGCGACGATTGCATGAATGAGATGTTCTCGGCGTTTGTCCGAACACGAGATTATCCGCCCGCCGGTGAATTGATGTTGCATAGTTGAATCATAACAACGGTTGATAAGTCGGATGATGATTTGTTTTGAATTCAATTGTGCGTAGTATTGCAGTGGAATGCAGTGCATTTTTTATATTTTACATTCGATGTCATCGTCATGGCCATGCTGGAAAAAAACATTCGGTACAATGTATGACGTTACATATTGTAAATATCCCCTATTAGATCATTCCGGAATTTAAATGTGCCATCATTTGCGCTTAACGTTGCTGATATGAAAAATGGTGTCACTTAAATCAGGTATAGAGTACATATATACGTAAAACGCTCAAGCTTTCCGTTTTCAGACAAACTTACCACATCACATAAACCGCTGCGTGATTATTTACTTATCCAAAGATAACAAGCCACCATGCGCCCCCATCAAAACACAGAATGCCACGCTAGAGCAAGATCGTTTACATCTTCAACGTGGAAACAGGCACAAATAAAATAATGTCACATCAGGCAAATAAAATTGCAGTTGAACAATTCTCGGCCAACTATTGAAAAAGGCCTACCAGCTTTTGTAAACAAACCATCTGCAATTCGTTAGCGTGGGCGACCTATGCTTCGTTTTGTTTACAAAAGCTGATAGCCCCTTATCAATTGTTGGTCGAGAACTGATTCCGGAAAACGGAGCGACAAGATCTTGACTGAAACGAACTCTTCACTATCGTTATGATTAACATTGAAGTGTTTGACAAACTTACCTTGAATGCACTCTGACCGTATCAAAGCAGGCGAGTTCCTTTTGTGGATGTTTACAAATATTGTCATCCTCAATTTAATCCACCACGTCATTTGTGTTTGTGTTTTCCACGCTGTCCCTTCTCGTGCGCTTGAACATCGACCGCCACTTCCTTCCGAGTGTATATTGGTACTTTTGCTCCCAGAAGCAAGAAAGAAAATCAATGATACACATCCCAAGGTTTGCTTTTAAAATCACTGCGCCGTTTATTGTCGAAGTCATTGTCAAAAGAATGAAATTTTCGAAAACATAAACATACTATACACTCAGAGATGTAAATTTACACACATTGATCACACTTCGTAAAATCACATTTCGTTTGACTAGATTCTCGCGATTCATTGCTTACAACTACTAGCCTTAACCCGGAATGAAACTCATACTATCCCACTTGCCCTTTATGCCCTTTGGTAGGTTTGAGGTTAGGATTACGCCTTTTCAACGCCAATCATGGCGAACGGATTTTCCAGCTGACTTTCGCAGAGCGTCTGACTGCCGGAACCCAGTACCGAATGCCGAATACCGTAGGTGAAGTAGATCAGGAACCCAATCAGCAGCCAAACGGAGAAACTGATCCAGGTGGCTGCATCCAGTTGGAACATGAGATAGATGTTGACCAGGATGCTCAGCATCGGGATGAACGGCACCAGTGGGACTTTGAACGTAATCTTGGACTGCTCCGTAGGTTGACAAGCGATGACCAGGAACAGAATCAGAATCGACATGGCGAGGATGGTCAAGATGGTGAGATTCAACGGGTACTGAGCCGAGAGGTAGTTTTGACCGTGCATCAGTATGGCACTGATGGCACATATGATGAGAGCTACAACGAACGAATGGAATGGTTATTTGTTTGAGGATAACAGAAGTTGAGTGATCATACCGTATAGCAGCAAACTGATCTTGACGATCTTCGAGGAAAGGGCATTCGGAGTCTTGGCGATGTTCAGATTGAACAGCTGTTTCACGATAATCGTATTGTCCTGGCTGGGAACACTGGTCCTAAAGTTGGTATTCTCATCGTATCTAAGAACCAGAACACTCAGAGCGACGATCGTGTACGCCAACAGTGTTCCAATCGACATCATATCGATCAGCTGATGCAGATCGAACAGCAAAGCCATCGTTCCGGATACTAATCCGGATATGATAGTTGCAAATATGGGTGTCTTCGTCACTGGATTCACCTCGCGAAGCTTTTTGAACATGATGCCATCCGAAGACATTGCGTACAGGACTCGTGGAAGAGGGAACATCGCACCCAAGGAGTTCGTACACAGAGAAAAGATGGCTCCAATGGATACGATCCATTTGATCTCCTGCCACCCAAGCCAATCGAATAGGTTCGGAAACGGTGCTATTGGATCCTGGTTGTAGTAGGGCAAAGCCATCGTGAGCACGGTAGCCACTCCAAAATACGACAGAAATATGATGATCAAGGAGAAAATTATGGCCAGAGGAATATTTCTGGATGGATTCCGGGCTTCTTCCCCTGTCGTAGCGATACAATCGAATCCCACGTAACCGTAGAAGCACTTGGCAGCCCCTGCCATGACTCCTGCCAACCCGTATGGCATGAAGCCTCCCACACCGGCTTCCACCCCGGGAGGAATATCTTCCGGCTTAATATTCCAATTGTCAGGATTGACCTTAGTTCCAACGGAAATCAGAACCACCACAATCACCATCAGATTGACGCCGGTGAAGATGTTGTTCAATACCGTGGACTCTTTGACACCGTATGCTAGGAGGGCAGTGATCGTAAGCACCACGAAGAACGAACATATGTCCGGATATCTTCCGAGGAAACTCACCCGGAACTGTACGATACTTTGCATTGCATTCGCCATCCGGTAGTCGATCAGTGCGTCAATGTAGCCACTGAGCCCCCGAGCTACACTGGCAGTTCCTTCGAAAGAATTATACGTTAAACAATACCTCACGGAAATAAACTCTCAATTCCCACTAACCAATGATGTATTCCAGCATCAGATTCCATCCGATGGTAAAGGCAGCAAACTCCCCGATCGTAATGTACGTGTAGATGTACGCCGAGCCAGCCTTCGGAACTCGAGCGGCAAACTCCGCATAGCAAAGCCCGGCAATGGCAGCCGCCAGGGCAGCTATCACAAACGATAGCACCACCCCGGGACCTGCCTGTTCGTAGGCAACCGATCCGGCTAGAACGTATGCTCCCAAGCCCAGGGTACTGCCGACACCCAGGCCCGTTAGATCTAGCAGAGTAAGAACGCGGGCCAGCTTCGAATGACTACCGTCATCGTCGTTCGGTTTCTTGCGGCTGAGGGCCTTGAAGAATTTGTCCATCAATGACTGGAAAGAAAGGAATTAGGATGAAAATAGTTAATGTGCTTCCTCATTCACTCACAGCTGAGAGCTACCTTTAGATGTGCTAGGCTTTGGCTGCTAACTTTCATTAGATTTGATAATTTGATGGGATTGTAAGATTATTTTTTATAAATTTAAGTAGATTTAAAAAATCACTTTTTTCCTATCCTTGATCCAATGAACAATAAATGGTAAATCAGACGTAACATTTGATAACGGCACAAAAGCTTTTGTATACAAACTTTGTAAGGACCTTTGCACGTGAACCGAAGTACGCCCACGCAAACCAACAACATCATCGGGTAGGGGCAACTCTCACCTTTCCGAAAGTGGTATTGGTTTGCGTGAGCGTACTTTGGTTCACGTGCAAAGGACCTTACAAAGTTTGTTTACAAAAGCTTTTGTGCCGTTATCAAATGTTACGCCTGAAATAAGAGCTTTTTCGAGTACGCAGCCTGAGATGAAATAGCCTACGGCTAAAATTCTCAAAGTAATTTAAAAAAAAAGCTTATGCAGCTTTTATTCAGCTCAAATTGTTTGTTGGGAAATAGACGTTTTGTGAAACATGAAAGTACAGGGTCAGATAGAGTAACTCACCGATTTCACACGTATGCAATTCTCAATGGATAAAATTAATACATGTTTAAGTACTTTTGTTTTAAAGTGTATACAGATGTCAGCGTGGCTTGATAGTAGGCTGAGTAGTCTTTGAAATTTCAATCCAGTGGGGTTTCCGATTTCAAGCAGCTATGTCTTACGTGAAGAGCAGCCCGCAATGGCAGGCGCGTAGGCAACATGTTATACCGTGACAGCCGGCCCAGCACAGCAAAATAATTGATTTGAACCCGGGATATGCTACCTACTGTCAAACGCTGCTGTTATTATAGGCAACGCTGCTGTTCGTATAGGCCTTGTCACTGGCCTGGTGAAAAGAGAGAATGTCACAAAGCTTTTTTCGAAAATCATCTGTCGTGTGACATCTTCTAGAAGCTGAAATCTCTCAGAGTGAATTAAACATTTATTTTTCGCAACATTACAGTGGTACAAAGAAACCAACACATGAGAAGTTTGAAGTGTGGTAAAAACGTTTTCAAATAGTTTTGAGCAATTCTGTCGATTGGAATGGATAGAAAAGCAAGCAGAAAATAAATGTAAACAAACCAACACGCCATATATGTGTATGACGCTGAGAAAATGCTTATAGAAGGGCGGTCGCTGCTTAAATTGACGAGAATGCGCAAATTCCCCTATATATGAAATATACTGATAACAAAATTTCTTGCCAACTTTCCATCTTTATGACCATTTGCTTTAGTGACAGTCACTCCGCCTCACTCTCTAATTTAAATGAATGCCTTATAAATTGTTTATACATAACCTCATCTTATCTATATTTCAAAAGTCATTACTCATACTACTACTATCCATATAATGATCTTTCAGCTCAAATCAAAGATCAATGCTGCTGCCTTTGAAAACATCTCAATGAGTCATTGCTCTAATACAATCTAGAAAAAAGGTTCACTATTAATCAAGCATGACACCGAAACCCCGTTTGCAACCAATAAACCCTTGTTTACAGTGCAATAACCTCACGGGGATGATCACACGTTTCCGCAACGCGTCCCATTGAGGACGAGTGTTTTACAGTTTTATTCTTAACTATTTATAAATCCCATACCGTCTAGCTAGAGTCGTCTTCCCAGCAGCCCCTCGCTACTGCTGCATCGTTGCTAGATATCTATATGAATATTTATATATAATACTTTCACTATGAAGGGGTATAAAATCCACCGGGTCGGTACGTCACGATCTTTCTTTTAATCGCTTACATATTTCCTACTAGTGCATTTTTGGCATCTCAAATTTATTCTCGTCATAAAATGTATGCATTCACACCAATCGTTGACAGAAAATACTGATCAACCCCAAAGTTTCACTTCAATCAATTCTGACATCAGCCAGAATTTATGTAATCATTTTTTTTTTTCACACAACCAACCAATCCATCCCCAGTTCACCACCGTTATCGAGCGTAACGCACCTCTAATCGCCGTACGCGTGCTTGAAAACGCACCACTCGAAATCGCAGCAAGCCGTTGTTGATAAAGTAGCGCGTTAAATTAAACTATCTTTTTTTTTCGTTTCGATCGTAGGAGCCACGCGCCCCTTGACGAGAAAATTTAGTCCGAATGTCCGCTTACACAGATGTGCAAAATTTGACTGAGGACTATTTTTAAATTCGATTGTAGTTAAGTAGTACAAGATGATCGGTTAATTGGAGGGTTTGATGCGATAGTCGTGTGCCTCTCGCCGCCCCTTCGTTGCTTGTTGGTGGTGGTGTACGCTTGCGCTGATTGGTGTATAGTAAAGATTAGCGTATCTACATTTAGGCGTAACGCTTGCTTGAGCGTGGAGAAATCGACGTGTCAGGTCCAGGTGACTTATCTTTAACTGGGAAAATCTAAATTTTTTATCGAATACATTTGAAAATCTAGGAAAGGTTACAAAGTAAAGAAGGTATGCAGTTATAAAATTATCATGGAAGAAATCGAATGGAAGAAATCTTTTTCTATTACTTTATTTCGGCTGGTTCACCAAAAGAATCCTTAATTTATCCGTCTTTTATTTATTTATTTATTTATCACCATCTTCGACTGAGTCATACAGTTTGTACTTCTTGTAACTAAATATAAACTATATCTTCAATCCCACTGCTAAACACATTTTTAGACAAGTTAAAATCAAACTCTTCACTTACATCGCTAACATTCACTAACAATGCTCGAAGACACGAGTCGAACGGATTATTTTGGCCGTAGTTTGTCCGTGATATGGAACAGAGTGATGAGTTGCGGAAGCGTCGGGGAGGAACATTCAGTGCAGCCTGCTCGAGAAGTGCAGGACAATTGAAAAAAAAAATTGATGAGGTCAAAGACAAATAAGCGTTGCATATTATATTGACTCGCCTGGCAGCAAGAGGAACAAGTTTAATCAACTGGCATCGGTCGAAATAGGGAGGAAGATTTTCAGGATCGTTCCGAGGAAGTTGCCGGAGAGTACACACCAAATTTTTATCGCTGGAAATCAGCAATTTTTTGCTGAATTTTGCCGACTTGAAATTTCAGTAATCATTACAGCAAAATAAAATTACTGAAATTTTTAGCAAATGTCATTCTGCTTGACAGAGGTTTACTGAATTATCAGCATATTTAATAGATTTGCTGAAAATCCAGCTAATTCAACAACCGCATAATTTGACAGCACTTTGCTGATAGAATTCAGCAATATTTATTTAAAAGCAGCTTTTTAGTTTTAATGATTTATTCAAAACAAAATTAATTTCGGTTTATCATTGAAACATTTTGATTTATTTAAACAAATTCAACTTGATTTCCATACCTAATCATAAATTATTTCAACATTTTGGATGCTGTTGGTGGTGGAAATCGGATGCTTTTTGATGATATGCGGCTTCAGACTACTGAACTTCCGGTAGCTCATCCTGCAACCTTTTTTAGTGCATGTGAAGTGCACAAGCTCCTTATCAAAATGATGTTTATTCTCGTGCACTTTTAGGTGTCGTCGAAGTCCATCAATATAACCCTCAACCAACTGATGGCAGTAGAAACACTTCAAGGTGTCTACCATTGCTCTCGAGGCTGAAGAAAACACAAGATTATATTTAATTATTTTACTTACCAAACAACTCCTCCACATCACAACGGTCAGCTTTCAGATTCAGCAGAGCTGCCTGAACTTCCGGATCCATTACGCACTTAATTTGTTGCAGAATAATTACTGACAAACCACACGCACACTGCACTCAGCGTAGTTAAAAAAAAAAACATTGTCGGCTTTTTTGACGTAGGACTACGTCTTTGATTTCTATATGGGGGTACACTTTGTGAAAACCGAAAATGGAACATGTAACAAATTAAGAAAGGTTTTGAACGTTAATAACTCAGCTGCCCCTGATCCAATTTCAATAATTGTATCACCAATCGATCAGAAATATGGCTACGCATCGCAAAAATGCTTCCGAATGTTGATTTTCAACAAGAAACTATTGAAAAACTGGTAAATGTCCAGCATTGTCCAAAAGCGTCGAATTAACTAACAAATCCACCAATTACTTACATGCATATGCTGCTTCCCCAGTACAGTCGTCAGAGAGTAGTAAGTAGACGAAACAAGTCGAAGTGGAGGATGGAATTGCGTAATATTTTGCACACTCATCGCTATACTCAGAACCACACGCTCCCAACGACCACACCACTGTGTGGTGGTGTTCGGTCGTCGAAATTAGTAGCAGCAGTAGCAGAAGTAGCAGTGCTCTCGGCGTGTGGCGTTGAAAATTGTTCTCCAGTAACAACGAAAGGCTGCCTGCAAGCAGCGAGCTTCTGCAGGCTATGCGCTCACATAAGCAACCATCAAAGGAGGAAGAAAAGCACCGCTATGCTATGGATCGGAATCAGTAGCTCTTCGTGAGTCGCTGCGGGTCGGTCATTGATGCAATGCGTGTCACCCTCGCTCCAAACGACATACAGCTCGACAGCCTCATCCGTGTTGAACACCCAGCTCAGAATTACTCAACCATCACTACAAAACGGTCCTTTTCAGGGCCACCAAAAATTTGTTAAAGAGTATTATTTGGACATTGGTCAAGGTCATCAGTTCCCACAAGCAGCTAGCTATCAAGGCTCAACCTGTCTATAGAAGGTGTGGAATTGTAGACCTGAATATATTGGTGCAATTAGTTTTTCCTCGGCTTTCATTTCGCACGATTCGTTTCTTTCGTTTATTCAATCACCCTTGTAGTGACGTCAAAAAGATTGTTTCAATCGGCGCTTACATATGAAATTAAATGTGCATTATAGAATTTTTTGTATGTTACCAAAATTTGTGAATGGTTTGCCACTAAATGTTGAGATAATTTATTGATTATTGAATTATCACACTGTATACCATGAAACAGCAGCCTGTTTGTGAAAACTTGCCTGTTTTCAAGTAAGGAGTTATCATAAAAAAACAAATCGCCAGCTGGTATTTCCCGGCGACTTTACAAATAAATGAAATCAAACAAAATCATCATGCAGAACTAGCTAGGATTTGTTTTACTTCATATTTCACAAAATTGCTTTCGAGTGTTAAAACATCGTCTCCCGCAAAGTTTACATTTTTCCCTCTATCAACACATACATCAGGGCTAGATAGATCTCCACAGGATCTAAGAATCCACGCAATTTCAAAAAACCAAAATGCACAGCATTACGAAAAGAGGTCAGATTTCGACCAATAGCAGATAGATTTTAATTCTAAACAATCCAAACGATTGGAAATGTATCTACCAATCTGCTAAAATGAACACTTAGTTAATTTTCAATAGGTCACTATTGAAAAATACCAAATGTCCAACTGTTGCAATGGTGATCAAAATTATCACCGAATATCTGAAAACAGCGCATTCCCTAACACAGACTTAAAAATCGAATTCGATGCGGTCTCACTGAACGTCTCACACACTGCAGCAGCAGCAGCAGCAGGAGTGCTTTCAACAACAACAACAACAACGAAAGGCTGCCTGCAAGCAGCGAGCTGCATAGCTCATATGAGCAACCATAGAGAAGGAGGAAGAACCCAAGCTAGGGAAGTCCCACCGCTAGGCTAGGATCGAAATCAGTAGCTCGTCGTGCTCAGCTCAGCATTACTCAACCATCACTACAAAATGGTCATTTTCAGGACCACCATAAATTTGTTAAGTGTATTATTTGGACATTTGTCAAGGTCATCAGTTCCCGCAAGCAGCTAGCTATCAAGGCTCAACCTGGTCTCTATAGAAGGTGTGGAATTGTAGGCCCGAATGTATTGGTGAGATTAATCATCGTTCGACCATTTTCCAGAACATGCTGGTAGGAAATGTTATAGAATTTGAGAGAAGTGGGAATAATTCGCTTTGGCTCAGTCCCCAGAAAGCCAATAAAATCTAATTTGTGAGAAAATTAGCTCTCGAATTCCCTTCTTTTAAACATATTCTGCACAAACGATACTTTCCGCCCCGCCCCATTCATATAATTCAGAAGGAAATCCTGTGAGGGGTTAATTGAATACTCTTAATACCAAAATGCACAAAACTTAAAAATTCATAAATAACGAAAAAATTCAAAATACACCTTTTAAAGTCGGGTAGATGAATCGAAAATACTCAAGTTGACAGTCCCTTGGATTCTCTTCATCAACTTTCTCTTTGAAATAAATACTACAAATTTGATACGCTTACAAATAAAAAAACGAAAGAGTTAAGATAATTGATGATTGATCAATTAAAAGAACTAAATGTTCACATTTGTTCCGTCCACTAGCGGTCCTACGTCAAGCTTCCGTTCGTGCCCCTAGGCACAGACCCTTCTACTTTTTTTACTTATTTTGACAGAGTGAAAACGAGACTATGAAATATGCTGAATTTTCAGCAATCTTGTCAAGTGCTGGTTTTCAGTTAAAACGAACCAAATTGCTGATATTCAGTAAAACCGTAGATTGCTGATTGCTTTTCAGTAAACCATTTTGCTGAAATCTTTGATCAATTTTTGGTGTGTAGCGTTACCATATGAGCATGAGCATGAGCATGGGCATGATTGACCGCCCACGGTTGCTACTCTGTTATTGCCAGATCAGCTTTAATTACACAGAGAACCAATGGACGATGCTTGGAACTATTTAGCAATCATCCTCAATGTGTAAAAACTGGTGATCTCAAATTAGGCAATACCAGCGCCAGCCGCGCCTGAACGCAGGTCAAGAAAAGAATGGGTAGGAATGTGTTGACGTAACACTCGCTTTGATGGAAGCCGAGAAATCCTCTGCACTTCTACGAGGAGTCACTGGGATGTTGGGTAAGAGGGTAGGGTTTGCAGCAAGGTTCGTTTTGGTAAACGATAAACTAAATTGATGTTTGAACGATAGGGAGGGGTTACTGTATAAATAAATAAAAAGGAATGATCCAAGCCAAATAAACAAGTGGAGCTGCACCAACAGCAACCGGCCAAATTCATATTATATTATAATAAAATAAAAGGTAAATAACAATGATAAGCTATTCGATACACCTTCTGGTCCTTCAGGATCTGCAGGACAACTATTTTCTAGAAATGAAAATTATAGTTATAATGATATAATGAGATTTTAAATATGTGTCGATTT